AGACTCCGGCCAAACGCCGGAGTCAATCACGCCAATTATAACATCCTCTCCGAACTTCGACGCCGGCCATAGCCCCGTACTGGGATTAAGTTTCAGAAAACCAGGCGTGTACGTGGTATGGAGCTCAAAGGGCCGATCTTTATAAGCGGAAACAAATCCCGGAGACCTCTTCAAGACCTGAAGTTCATCGTCCGACAACACAGCGCTAAAGCCGTGAAGCGCATTGTCGTAAGTGTAGAGAAGCTTGGGCGGAGAGGAGTGGCGGGCGGCGTCTAAAGAAGTGACGGCGGAGGAGTACCAGTGGTGGTGGGTGGGAAAAACAGCGGGCATGAAGGACTTGTCCATATGGACAATGTAGGTTGATCTGTGGGCTGATATGGATGAGGGGGAAAGGTGAAGAGCGAGGAGAAGCCATGGGAGAAGGGAAGAAGTCATTATTAGTGTGTTGGATAGTGAAGAAGGGGTAGCCTAGCAGAGGATTTTGTAGAGTATGGTGAAAGTGGATAGAATTGAAGTAAAAAGAGGCGGCGGGTTTCGCCATTGTTGGGAAGAGTATAAAGCTAGTATATTCATCCATGGCAGCTCAAATCATCGCTCTTTACATTGTTTATTACCACCGGCGGCCCTTCAGACTGTTGCTGCTTCGTTGTCTTCCATGTTTTTTATGCCCATGACCGTGCCCATCTTTAGCTATATTATATTTTTCTTTTTGAAAGCATCTTTAGGTATATTTTGGTTGAATCCCTAACCTTAAAAGCTCCTCATTTTGAGAGGTTACTACTCACTCAATCCAAAGTCATTGTTTCCAAACGGATCAATTGAGCTACCACGCATTATAGTTTTTGGCTCAAGTTTTCTCATTCTGAGTTGCCTAGCTACATGACTACGTCTTTGCATGAGTATTATTCTTTCGTGATCTGCCTTTACATATTTTTAGAATTTTTGTATTTAATTGGTCATACATAGTTATTTTTTGAGTCTTTTGGCCATGATCTAATGTGATATATGTTGTTTGTTTTGATTAAAAAAAAAAGAAAAAAAAAACAAACTATCAAAGAAATTAAGCAATTAATTAATTCCATTTGAAATCCAAACCTAGAAAGAAAGTTTAAGAAAAATAACCTATCAAACAAATTAAGTATTTAATTCCATTTGAAATCCAAACCTAGTAAGAGAATTTAAGAACGAGGCAACCACTTTTCACTAAATTAGCATAAAATTTCAAAATGTCTTATAAGTGTAAACGTCGAAACGAGTCTATTCAAAACTAAACTGGCCTTACATTAGTAAAACTTGGGCTAGAGTGGGTTGGTCTTGGTCCTCCACTCCTCCCAAGAGGCCAAGATAGAAGAGGCCGGCAAATTATGTTGTGCATCCGTATGCACCATGATCCGTATGCACCATGCATGGTGCATACGGATGCAAAAACGACGTCGTTTTGCATCAAAACGTTCATCCTACTTAAAAAAATAAAAATCCGTTTCAATTCCCAGCAACAACATTATGTTATTTATTTTTTAGTTTATTCATTTTGGATTTTTAGTTATGAAGTTCTGGATGTATAGTTATGCAATTCTGGATGTGTAGTTATGCAATTATGGATTTATAGTTATGAAGTTATGGATGTGTAGTTATACAATTCTGGATGTATAGTTATGAAGTTATGGATGTGTAGTTATGTAATTCTGGATTTATAGTTATGAAATTATGAATGTGTAGTTATGAAATTATGGATATGTAGTTATGCAATTCTGATTTTTTTTTATTTTATTTTAAGTTAGACGTCAAAACGACGTCGTTTTTGCAACCGGATGCACTATGCATGATGCATACAGATGCACCCATAACGATCCCATAACGCTCCATCAAGGCTTAAGCGGACATAAATGTTTGAGGCCCTATTCACAATAAGTGAATAATACCAATTTTGTAAGTGAAGAAGAAAATAGGTAGTTTTGTGACATTAGTCAACAAAGAACTAAAAAAGTAAACTAACCTAAACTGTTTATAGTTAATTGGCTGAAACAAAGAATATCAATAGACATCTCTCACTATGAATTGAACTTGTAATATTGTAATTAGTAAGCTAACATAGAATATTTATTACAACAAAAAAGAACACTTTATTGAGCATAAAGTATATATATGCTCCTTCTCGTGTTCCTTACATTCTTCTCGTGTTCCTTACATTTTGTTTATTTGGAACATTTAACAATTAACACCTCAGTACAGGACAACATGATCTTGCTTGCTTATCTTCATTCCCAGACCTCTACTGTATTTGAAACAACAATTGGACTCCTGACCTTATGATACCCATTCACTTCCACCCATGTAATCGAACCAACATTCTTGCTCTGATTCTCATCGCCTCTGTACCGTATCCTCAGACTGTAACTCTGTTTCTCCTTCTTCTTCGTGAACACCAATGTTGTAGGAGACACAGAGATTGTGGAGTTCTTGGGAACTTCCAGCTTTGCCTTGTATGTAGCCGCACCGGGACCAACGTTTGTGAGAGTTCTCTTGAATGTCTGCACCGTCCAGTCATAAACTCCGTTATCTCCTCCGAGAGGGTATAGAGCAATGAAAGATGGATAATTTAGATCTGGGTTTGAGTTGGAGCAGTTATTAGTGGCTGAGGATCTGGCAATGGTTTGGAATTGAGCTTCTGTGAAGTTCATGGCGCAGAGGAGATTAACGTAGTCTTGTGAGGTGGCGTCGTAAACTAGGCCGGGATCGAGTGCGGCGTTGGGATTAACCAGACCGGCACCCATAACCAGCGGCGTGGCGACGGCGTTGTCGTCGGAGTCTTTGATTGGTTTTCCGATGTTGTCTACCGTGATCGCGGTGGTCATCATGGCGGACCTGATGGCGGAGGAGCTCCAATCCGGGTGTGCCCCTTTCAGCATCGCCGCGATTCCGGCGGCGTGCGGGCATGCCATGGACGTTCCTGATTCCAGATTGTAATCGGTGCCTAATTGAATGTTGATTCCAATGTTTACCGCAAAGCTATTGGGTGGATAGGCGGCTAAGATCAACACTCCCGGCGCCAAGATATCCGGCTTCGAAATTCCTAGGTAGCTCGGAGATGGGCCTCTGGAAGAGGAGGCGGCCACCGTCGGCGCCGGCTTGTTCCCGAAAATTGTTTCCTGGAAAGTGATAGTGGCTTTAGGATCAGTGGCGGTTTTGGCGTATTTAATCACTTGTTTCCCTTCTTTGGGGCTAATGAAGACTCCCGGGCTAGGAAATGTAGTCGACCGGAAAATCCCGGGATCGTCGTTGATGAAGATAGCAGCTCGGATTTCGGCACTGGCGACGGCCTGTATTTGGGAGAAGGTAAACGTAGGCTCGTCTATCTCCGGCTTCTCGCAAATGAGGATAGTGGATCCCGGTTCAGGAACTTTGGCTACCAATTCCAATGAATCGCAAGAAGAAATTGTTTTGTTGTAAAGTAGATTTACGTCCCTCACCAATGCTCTCCCCGGGAACACACTAAAACCCCTGATTTTCAACCCATTTCCCAGTGTCAAACTTCCGGCGAACCACCGGTCCGTCAAGCCGGAAGCAACCGTCAAGATCCAAGGAGCACCGTTGTTTAGAGTTCCGAGACTGGGACCGCGGTTGCCGGCGGAGCCAGAGACGAGAATGCCCTTCTTCATAGCCCCAAAAGCCGCAATTGCGATGGGATCTTCGTATAGAGGGATGTGTCGGTAACCGAGGGAGACCGAAATTACATCTACGCCGTCGGCGATTGCCTGGTCCATGCCGGCGATGAGGTCGGAGGTGACACTTCCTTCATTCCAGTTGACCTTGTACACCGCCACACGAGCGCGTGGCGCCACTCCTTTCGCCGTCCCTGGCGCATAGCCGAAGTAGGAAACACCGTCAACGTAGTTTCCGGCGGCGGTGGACGCCGTGTGCGTGCCGTGTCCATTGGTGTCCCGGGCGGAATTCATGGAGATATTAATCCCGGGATTCGCGGCGAGTACTCCGGCGTTGAAATAGTTAGCGCCAATGAGCTTTCTGTTACACAACGAAGAATTGAACTCCGTTCCTTCCTTGCAAACCCCCTTCCACCTCTTGGGAATCAGCGGCATGCCGTCGTCCCTAAAGCTCCTGGATTCCGGCCATACACCGGAGTCAACCACGCCGACGATCACATCCTCGCCGAACTTCGACGCCGGCCATAGCCCCGTATTCGAATTAAGCTTCAGAAAGCTAGGAGTATACGTGGTTTGCAGCTCAAAGGTCCGATCTTTATAAGCCGATACGAATCCCGGAGACTTCTTCAAGGCCTGAAGTTCCTCCTCCGACAACAAAGCGCTAAAGCCGTGAAGGGCATGGTGGTAAGAGTAAACAATCTTGGGCGGAGAGGAATGGCGGCCGCCGTCTAAAGAATTCACGGCGGAGGAGTACCAGTGGTGGTGGCTGACAAAAGCGGTGGGCTTGGATGACTTATCCATGTGGACAATGTAGGTTGATCTCTGCGCCGACAAGGATAACGGGAAAAGATGAAGAACAAAGAGAAGCCATGGGAGCAGAGAATTGTGTGAAGCCATTGGATATTGCGTCAATGAAGGAAGCAAAGTAGCGCATGTTATAGGTTGTGTTTGTTTGGTCAACAATGGGGGCGGTGGCGGCTCCCGGCACCGGTGGCCGGGAGAGTAAATATCTGTCAGTATACGTACTGTAGGTCTGTTGTCTGTAGCTTTAATTTGGATAGACATTATGTGCTGGCACATTTTAATCACTCAATTTCTTCAATTTATTAATATATATAATTAATACTCAGTACTACTAGTCAATTCTAAAAGTTTTTGTTTTTTTGTATATCAAGTTTTCACTAGGGTGGGACAGTTGCCCTGTAAATTTAAGGCTGCTTCATTTCTAAAGTCAATGATTGAACCCTTGATCTTTGGTTAATGATAGATGAGTCAATATTGTTAACTTTTTAATATTTTTAGATCTAAACTAATAATATTATTTGAAAAAACATTAATATTTTAGTTATCTTTGAATATTTTTACAATAAGAAGAACAAAATTTCTGTACGCCTTTTCTATTCTCGTTCTTTCTGGATTCCAACCCATCGTGCATAATCGACCCACCTAGCAGATACAGATTTCAAGTATTAGGAAGGCGAAGAAAGGGCTTTGAGTATGAAATTAAACCGAAAAAAGAAGATCAGATCATACATTAATGACCCTAGAAAGGTGTTGCCTGTTCGGACTGCAAAACATATCACACTCAGCACAATCTTTTTGTTGTGTAGTAAGGGCTCCAATATTCTCTGTTCAATCACTCCGGCAAGGATTTGGTACCTGTTTAAGATCGACCAAACTACACTAAAAGACTGAATCCAACCAATTAGCTAGACTAATTCATAACCTTATAAACCCATATGTTTCTTTCTTATTTTTCAATGTGGAACTCTTAACACAGAACTGCAGCACACGAGGAGGGATTCGAGAAGTCTAATGGAAAGCTAAGAGTAGATTCAAACTTGGGGGAAATAGTATACCTAAGGTTGCTTGAAACAGCCATATACACACCATATGCTGCACTGGTTGCTAGTATCGGGAGGTCCTCGGCTTCAAGAGCAAACGACTTGTCAAAGGCCTTCCTCACATTAATCAACGCGTTCGTTATACCAGTTCCAACCTGCAAAACGATGGCAATACGTAACTCCACCAAGAGCAAGACACTGCTACAGAATAGCAAAATCACCACAAACCATACTAAAAGATTGAATCCAACCAATTAACTAGTCATGGCCTTATAAACTCATATATTCTTTCTTATTTTATCAATGTGGGACTCTTAACACACTGATAAAGATCAAATTAAAGGGATTAAGCAAAAGGAAATAATGTCTTTGCTTACCAAAGATGCACCAGTGCCAACTGCAAACAGTTTGGCTCCATTTCTCTGCAGGAAATTCGAGCTTCGTTGAATTGAATAAGATAGAAAGCGGGAGCTTAGTACATCTACTGAAATATTTTCAAAGACAGACATACCACTATAGCACCTATTCTCTGTAAAAATGAATAGGATGTACCAGCCAATGCTACCTGGGAAAATACAGAAAGTAACCGCGTATATTAGAATTCTTTTACGTACACATTCAAACATACTATGGGTTTTATGGAAACCTGAAATGCGTTATCGGGGCAGTTGTAGAAGAACTTGTTGAGAGGTCCAGCACCAATGGCGAGAGATGGCCGGACAGAAACAGTTGGTGCAGGAAGCCAGACTAGCATGAAATCTGCAATAATGGCCATAACCTGAAATGCTCATCTTCCACACACAGGTCAGAGTAATGCTTGCTGTAATTCTTACCAAGAGAATCAAATCGCCAACTTGCATATACAATGTAAGCAAGTTTTTTCAACTTTTGGTCGCACGACTATGAGACTGTAAACACATTTGGTCCCGACTATTAATTTCCAAATTTGGTTTCATGACTTTTAATTTTTGTCACATTTGATCCATCTAACTTAATTCTTAATCACTGGTGATCAAACTTTAGTCATGTGACTTATCGAACAAAATTATCATTTCTAGTTCTTTTCCCTGAAAATTTAAGAAAATGATAATTTTACCCTTTAAGATAAGTCAACAGTAACAAGAAATTATATAGGAGGGACCAAATGTAGAAATAATCTTATAGTCGTGGGACCAAAAGTGGAAAAAATTGCAATATAAACTCTTGTATTAGTGCAGGACATTGGGTAGTAACTACGTGTTTCCTAGTCACTCAAAAAAAATTCTAGCAAATAGATATAGTTTTGTGATCATACCACGTCAGCAAACACAAAATCCAGCTCCTTGGAGAACTTTTCTCTGCGCTTTTCCAATTCTGCAGCTGTCTGCAATATGAACAGCATATATGGATTGAAGTTTTGAGGTGTTTGATTGTATTATGTGATAAAGAAGAACGGGAAAAAAATGGGTTTAGAGAGACCTTAGTGAAGATTCCAACTCCACACTCTATTCCAACTTTAGTCAAGAAAAGATCATCGGCCAGCAACCTTTCCTTAAACCCTCCGAAGTTGAGCAGCCACCGGAAAACCGCCGACTTCTCCAGCTCGAAATACCGATGAACTATCATCCCCGGAATCTTCCCTGCCTCGATTGCGGCGGCCAAGTCCTTTGGCAAGCTATCCAGTGATCTTCCAGAATCAGCCAGGGCCATGATCGCCTCAGCTCTGTTTTTATCCCCAGCATCTCCATCACCACCGCCCCCGCCGCCACTATTACTGCCACCCCTTTCACCGCCGCCGCCGCCATGGGAAGCGGAGAAGAAGCGGAATGAAGGGCGGGGAGCAGCAGGGTGTTGGAGTGATAAAGAGGAGGAGAAATTGGTGGCGGTGCAGATAGAGAGTGATGGAAAGGTAAGAAGACGGTGGGGTGGTGGTGGTGATCGGGTGAAAGAGAAAGATGAGATGTGAGAGGTGGCTGTTAACGCCATATGAAGCGGTGGCGGTGGCGCTGGCGGTGGTCCTCTCCTCCCTGCTACCTTCTGGTTTGCAGAGTGACAGGTTTTGGTAGTTTTTAGTGGTTGGAAATCAACTGTTTTTAGTGGATGTATTACTAAGTTGACTCTATCACATTAATGCAAGATTCTAAGTTCTAACACACCCAATTTTGCACAGTTGTCCCTCAGAATTGTCGTAATTACAGATACGTCCCACAAATTCTAATTTATTTATAGAATTACACAAACCACCATAACTAAAATCATAGATCTTTAAAAAAAATAAAAATAAAAATAAAAAATAAAAAAAAAATCTACTAAAATCATAGATCTTAAATACTCCGTACAATTTTACATATCATTAAATGTGCTTTGTAATTTTGTAACTCGTATAAACACCTTAGTTTTTAGGTGACAAATTATGGATGAAAGCACAAGATTAAACTCTAACAATCGCAATGTGAAAATTACACATGATAACATATTGCTTTCGATGATAAGTACGAGTGCAACAATCTGAGTATATTTTTACATACCATTAGATACACTTTGTAACACTTAGAATCACAAATATGTAATATACTTCTACGAGTAAATATCAGTCAACGTCCTCCGAGTTTGGTGATTTCACCACCTTTAGTCCTAAACTTTCAAATCGGCCCTTCGCGATCCTCCAAATTTCAAATTCGATCTGCCATAATCCTTCCGTTAATAACAAAACAGTCTTTTTATTGCAACCAAATCCAAAATAATTCATTTCCTTAAAAAATTAACCCTAATCCGCTAGAAAAAAAAATTACAATTGAATGATTTTCTAAGGGCTAATTTCTGAGAGAAAAAATTGCAATTGAAAATAATTAAGATTAATTTCTGAGACAAATAAATTGTTTGGCTGGATTTGTAATAAAACAATTGTTTTGCCCTTACTTTTCACAACTTAGACAAAAGACTACAACATGTCGAATTCAAAACTCAGAGAATCACGGAAAATCAATTTGAAAATTAAGACTAAAGATGACAAAACCACCAAACTCGAAGGACCTTGGCTAGCATTTACTCATACTTTTACATATTATCAAATGCACTTTGTAAAATTGCGTCATTGGCAAATTTTACAATACCTGTATTTCTCATACCAGAAATATAAATGAAATGAAGTTCTAAAAAGGGATAATTTTCAACGCATTTGAAATGTCCATGAATTGACCAATCATTCTGCAATGATATCAATATACAGCCTATTACAGCTTACTACAAGAACTTGATGTTTGAAACTTCAGAAATGTTGAAGGGCAGAATGATTTCTAGATTCAGGTTATCAGCAAAACACACATATACAACAGATTCAAGTAATCAGCTACTACTGGAGCTCTCAAAAACAGCAAGCATATGGTGCAATCTCCATGCATGATTTACATTTCCTAGTGACACCTCTCTTCTGATGCCCTCCTCGTCACTGATCTCCAGCTTTCTCCATTGATCCAGGCTGCAATTTAGCATGGAAAAAGGTCATTGTGGTTGGTAAATTGCACTCCGTGAGTTGTAACAATAACAAAGATATTTAATGAAATAAACCTTTGGAAGCCTGCTCAATCCATGGCCCATTCATTACAGTGAGAACACTGCATGCATCGCTATAGTCAAGATTCGGCAAGAGTTTTGGGGTAAGTAGGAAACACCTTGGAAAACGGTTCACAGAGAAAAAATCAGTGAAGGGAAATTATAAATATAATGATAAGTCTAAAAAAGTATTTATGTACAAGATAAAGATTGTGATTGCAGTAGTAGACCAGTAAGTTGTCAAAATCCTAGCTAATTGATGTCTTGATTGTGCATTGACAAAAGGAACTAATTTCAGGTATTGTGTCCATTTGTCATGATGGGCAACAGATTCAAATTGGTCAACATCTAAAGAGAGGGAGAAGGGCAGAGAATCCAAAATGATTATATAACTGTATATACCTGTGCATGTAATCACCAACATAGCAAGCACTATTTTTGAAACTTACATTTCAGGCAGAGCCGAAACTATGACGTTGCAGTGATATTTAAAGAATGAGGTTACAATGATATCTTAAGGATGTTGTCATCTGTTCATTACTATCTTATTATTGATGATATGTTCTCTCTAGCCACTGGGTAGTTTATTGTTCACCAAAAAAAGTAAATAATTTCAAAAATATAAGCTGTGATTTAAAGTGCTAACTAAATACAAGTTTAAAATAAAAGCTCGAAAACTATTTGCAGGTAAAAGTAGCAGTTCTCTTACTGTGGTGTATTACGTTGGCTGGCTGCTCTGACTAATTGCTGAAACATTTTCCTTTCATTAACTGGATCCATTCCTTCAATGAACACAAAAGACACAATTATTACTACTACTACTACTACTATTAATTATTATTATTATTGTAGAGTTGTAGTTAATAATCAAGATGACTTTCAGATGCTGACCTTGATTTATTTCATCAACCACTCTAAAAGGGCAAGTGGTTAGGTCTTGAAGAGAAACAAGGTAAAGAATAGTTGAAACAGAGCGCTCCTAAAATAAAATCACATTATGAAATTAGCAAATAAACAGAACACCTTAAACACAAAAGTTCAGTCATTGGACTTACGCCTCCAGATTGGTGGTGGGCACTAAGAATTTGAAGTTGTCCTGTTTCCCTGGTAATCACAAAGCACAAGATCAGAAGGAATAGTTACACGTGAAAATAAGGGGCAATGAACAAAAACTAGAATAAGAGGTCACACTCTCACAAAAAACCTCGAGGTCAGCCAAAAAAGAATTGATGTAGGATGTAGCTTTAAAGAGAATAAAAAGGGAAGATATAGTTCAAATTTGATTCTGCATACTTGACCACTAACATGTTTAAGCAACCATTGGTCATATGGTCAACAAATAGTACATTCCAACATTTGCTAGTTTTTTGAGAAGGTTAGAGTGAGGAGTGTCTTATCACTCAACTTTTTAATGTTTTGTTAGCTTCTTGTTGCTGGAAAGTACTTAGTTCTTTCTCTTACCAAATATTGTAGCCTTAGACACCTTTACGAAATAAATTTGCATTGAAGTCTTTTATAGTTTTTTCTTCTTTGTTATGCTGTTAATCGTAAAAATACTGCCTTGTTTGGTTCTTTCCTCTCCAATATGGTTTTCAAGAAACCACCTTTTTGAACCACTGTTCAAAAGATTCATTTTTCGTAATATAGACTTTTGCCTAGATCAACTTCTTCTGCACACTTATCCAACACCCCATCCTTAATTCAACAATTCAATTTATTTCTTAAAAGTACGTAAACAGAATCAGTTGCATAAACTTCAACAATTTTGGTCCTTTTTCTTCATGTGTAAATACAGCAAATAAAGATTAGCTCAACCGCAGTGAAACCAACAGCAATGGCCTTAACTAATCACATATTCTGAAGGCATTAAAAAGGAATCTGAACTGAAATGTGAAACAGATGAGCAAATACCTGAATTGAACTCTAATTAGAATCCCATATTTATCAAAGTCCATATCGTGCTCATCTGAAGAGAGACATCAATCAATTTAGGAACCACTGGACACTCTTTGTTAACAAAAAATAAAGTCTTCGAGAGTTTGGAGTGAAAGTTACCCAATGAAACCTCTCCTGCAACAGCCATTTCTCTAAAATTACGACTGAAAGTGTCATTTATCTGAGAGACAAGGTCTCTCAATGTTGGAAGCCAACTTTCCTGCAAATATCATGGAATCGTAATATGGTTTTAGACTATAATAGCCTCATAGATCATAGGAAAGCCTTTTACTGAAGAGATTTAAATATGCCAATGGAGGAAAAAATCCATTGCCAAATGCCACTCCTCCCACCACCATAAAAGCATATACCAAAAATAACATCATCAAGAGAGACACTTTTCAGTCTCAAATACTCCCATCCATTCATTCTTCCTTGCTTTCTTTGTGCCAATTTAAAACACAAAAATTAAACTTCTTTTTCAATAATAACACTTAATATAAATATAGAGCAGTATCAGCAGACAAAGTGAACTATGCACTGAAGTATGATAATCAGCAACATATTTTTATTGTCAAAACTTCACAACTTATAAAAAGTGTGTGACTAAATTATCAACATCAAAGAGGACTACTTGAAGCCATTTGCTGAAGATGTGACAAGCCTATGCAAAAATAAAATAAATAAAAATCTTTAAAGCACACCACCTAAACCTCACCTTTAGAGCATTAATTTCATTCAAATGACAACTTAATTCCTTTTCATCCATTTCATGTTTCTTTGAAAGAGAATCTATCTGCATAAAGCAAAGATATTGAATCAGATGATACTGAAGCAAAAGAAAGCAGGATTAAATCACAGAGAAATACAGGACTTACTTTTCTTTGGCGAGTCTCATATTGTTCGAGGGCATTAGGGTTAAGACAAAGAATAGAATTGGCTTGATAAACAGTGTCTAGTATAGCAGCCTCCAATTCTTCAATGGTGGAAGGCATCTGAAAAGATTATCTAGAATGATGATTGAATATTCATCACTGAAAACTAATAAATAACACAGTATAAAGAACCACACTGCTTAGAAAACCATACTAAATAAGAGTTTGTTGCTTATTCTACACAGATGCAAAGAACTAAAAGAAACTAATTCATAAATAATACATCCATGAAGAGTTAACTTTATTTGGATATCCATGAAGTTTTTGGACCAAAGATTTTAATTCACATATCAAAACTAGCTGTGACTAGCTTCCAACTTCAAATATCATCTGGAAAGGCATTAATGTGCATTAGCAAAACTAGTGAGGTAATCAGTATATTGTCACAAGCTATCAAAAAAAGTGCCACATTAAGCCAAAATCCATAAGAAAAAATAAGATACAAATAAAACATAAGAGCTTGAGCAAGAGATGTGAAATAATTATCATTTAGCGCTTTAGATTCATCTTTGAATTATCTTCTCAACCAAAGTGATAATCCAAGTATAATATGCTGATAGCAAACATAACACCAAGATGATCTGAAACTCTGAAAGTCTGAAAGTTTCTTAAAACTCCTATGCAAACCTCAATGAATGCCTGTTCCAATTCAGGAGTTAGCAATGCGATGGATTCAGCATGCCTCATGGCAGCTGATAATTGATCACGGCAATCCTCCAATTTCTTTTTGCCTGATTAGGAAGAACATAAGTAAAAGGTAAGAAAACGCTCTTCTGATTTTTAAAAAGTAAAAGGAACAAAAAAATTTAAGTCTTTACATCCAAACACTTTATTTGATAAATTAAAAATATTTCCAGTGTGGCAGTGTATACCAAAAAGGTAAGAAAACTCTCTTCTAAACATAAAAAACCCAAAGAGAATGCTGGTAACCCTTTCCCTAAAGTCTAGTAATTTTTACAAGATTCAACAATGAGGATCAGCAGGGCAATCATTATCTCTACACTCAAGACAATTAGAACGGCTAGAAATATATGCAATAGGAGCAACTAGGTATACACGTTTCTTCACCAAAGGCTTAGCACAGTGAAAACCCATTTTGAATAGATGTAAAATTATATTGCAAATTTATCAATGGCTAACTTATATAAAAGTATAAACTAACAAGAACTTGTTAGCAATCATGTGTGCGTGTTTATATATATACATAGATATTGGAGCAAGGTATTTTTAGCTTAAGGAGACAATTTGGGCAGTTGACATTTCAACCTACTCAAAACACCAATTTATACAACAGGTCAATTTGGGTGAGGTAAATTCAAACAGCTCTTACAGCAGGTCAAAAAGAGTTGGGAGTGGATCAATAATGAGATATAAATTTAATTCTTGCATCAGTAATTCTTGAACATTTACAATACTTTAACATTTTTTTTATATAAATAATCAAATTTTAGTATAAACTGTTAAAATCTGTAGCAACTCAAATTCTGAAAATGAGTTAGCCCATCCACATAATCCATTTTAACTTGCCCAAAACACCCATTTGCCACCTATAGTCATTAACATGTCAGACTCCTATCTGTTCTTCAGTGTTTCCTTCCTAGTTAAAAAATCTCAAAAGATGCCAGTTGATGTTACAGACAAACTAAGGCCATTAACATGTCAAATTCCTTTCCACTCCTCAGTTTCTCATTCATAAAAGAAGTGTCAAAAAGAGTGCAGATGGTGTTACAACGATGTCAAAGACAGACTTCTAGTGGGGACAGTGCAGAACTTGTTAAAGGTGGATTATCCCTGCATTGATGGTAAGTCTCATAGTGGTAGGATAGGACTGATATTTTATGTTGAGGAATATCTTCACATTACTGATTTTGATGAAAATATTTTTGCTAATAAATTACAAGACCATTGAACTACCAATTAACTATGTTTGACGTTTTACCAATCGTTTGAAGAGCAACTGTTGTCACAGCAAAGGTAGGATCTTTAAATATTTAAACAGTAACAACTACCCAATGCCATGCGCCAATGCTAATCCACAACTAAAGCCAGAAAGTTAAAAAAGAGAGCCAAGATTTCACTAATATAATTATAGCAGAAGTTTCCACTGTTTATTCTTGGTTTTCCTCTTCTATTTTCTATTTGAGAATTGAGACAGGACAATCTTTCAAGTTGAGGTTTGTTTGTCAATATATTTATACAACACTTTTCAGGCAAAGTCAAATGCTCAAATGTTCGTTTTCTAGCATAGACGCAGTAGCATGAGAGAGGGAAATACTTGTGAAGTAAAAAAAGTTTATTACAAAAAAAAGAGTGAAGAAATGTTTGTAATAACAAAGAATGTATATTATTATCTGATGATAAGAACATAAAAAGCATAGAAAGAACTTACAGTGCTCATGATGCAAACATGCTTCCTCAGCCAACTTTTCCTGGTGCTTCACGTTGGTTTCCATCTCTTTAATCTAGGATAAAATAAATAATAAATAATAAAAACACTCCTAGAGGTTAGAATCAATAATGAAAATAGTGGATAGGTCGTGGTTTGATTCAGGTGTTGCAGGATACATAAGATACAGTAAAATACTACTTGATATATATTTATGGTTTTTTATTTGCTTTAAGCCTTTAACAGAAAACCAACATGTCAAACTAAAAATATTGAAATATAATGCACTGAGAAATGTTAAAGTACACTAATTTTTTGTTTTCCATCTTGTTTCAACTGAAACTTATTAGAAACTAAGCTGCATCTCTTATTAATTTATGTCAGATTCCATTGAAGACATTGACATGTGTATAATCAATACTCAATAGGATGTTAAAGGTGACTGCTGAATGTGACTAAGCAAAGGGCCAGCATATAGAAGCATGCAGTGCAATTTTCCACCCATCTTTATGGATGATACAAATAAACAAATAGAAAGGTGTTGTAAGTAAACCAAATGCAATACTCAAAGAACCAAAACTGGAATTAATCCCAAATAGAAATATGCAACGGTAAAGATAATTTGAATTTATTGGCAATATATCACGCAACAAGTTTAACCACCCTACTAATGGTAAATAACTATGTGTTTACATCATTACCAAAAATGTACCTTAAACTCAAGCTCAATTAAAGCCATGCTCTGCTCAGCATAACGCCTTCGATTAGCATAAGCCTGAGTTAGTAAATCCTGAAAATTGAAAAGGAATTATTACTTATGAGACATAAATAAATGTGGCAATAAGAGAAGGGAAAAATGAATAGCCAATTCACCTTGAGTTGAACTGCACACTGGCATCTCTGAACCTTCAGTTCCGTAACCTGTTTACTTAAGTTAGTAATGGTGCTATCCAAATCATTCTCTCGTTCCAAAGATTTTAACTTTAACTTCCGCTGCTCTGAAGTTGGAGAAAAATGTTTGTAAAGTTACACTCATCAAGAGAAGAAGGTATTTTAAAAATTGCCAAATAGATTCAGTATTTCTCAAGAAATATAGTAACATATTTACCAACAAGCTTTTCCATCTCAACTCTTCTCCTCTTCTCTTGAAACGAAGCATTAATAAGCCTCTCCTATAAGGTAATTAGCAAAAAATGTTACTATTTATGCTCAAAAGAGAGCCAACATATGAATGTTAAGAAACAGAAATTCAAATGTAAATGTAAAGAAATAGAAATACTGTAAAACAAAAGACAACAAATATGTGGATTGATATTCAATCAAAGTTGAGAGGCAAAGGAGAACAGGAAACCATATACAAATATATATATATATATATATATATATATATATATATATATATATATATATAAACTTATTTCGTTCAGAAATAATATGTAAGCATGTGCAAATGAAAGTATCACTTTGCTAGTAGGAGATCCATGAATCCTATGCATTTGCTATCCAATTAATTTCTTTTAGTGTTTTGAGGCCAAGCAATAGTGAATAGCTTTGTTCTAGTGGAATGCATTAATTGGTATATTATACAGCGAGGGTTATACTGCTAGGTGCACTTCATGCTAATGTTAACATGCTTTCTAAATGAAGTTTATTTCAAACACTCCCGTAGTTCAATCTTACTGAATGTGCAATTCAATTCAAATAAGCAACATTAATGTCATATGTCATGCCAATGGGCACAGAATGCAATGTAAACCTAGGTGCATGATGAAGTATCAGAGTGCAAAAAGAACAAACAAAAAGCAGTCAGTATTCCAGCTTGATAGGGGATGGGGATGTAAATAGTATCTAGGAGCATATCTAATTACAAGGAAAGCTTTTATATAGCTCCCTTTGGCTAGAATGACCAAAGACAATGTCATTAACAACTCTGATTTGTGTTCAAGTCAGTTACAAAAAAGCTATATCTTGTTGATTAAAACTGCAAATGCACACATGTATACTAATGTACACAGCTAACATTTCGATAATCAAAATATTTATCAACAAATGCTATTCCAATCTGTATGCACATCTTGTAGAAAATGTTATTGGTGCAACTTAAGATACACTATAAGCATATATTGACATCCTCAAGAATAAATATTTATATCAACAAATCAATATGATATGTATTAAATACACATTTCAAACAAGAGGACATGAACATTTGTGAAATTGTGTATACATTTAAATTACTATGTAAATTGCTCCTTATGAAAAACTTAGCAAAGCCTCACCAGAATGACCAGATAAGAAGAAAAGATGTTCACATACATATTTTTTTTCAAGTTCTGCTGCTTCATTTTCTTTGTTTCTTAGCTCAACCTTGACTGTATTTAAGTTCTCCTCCAAAGAATAGGCAGCTTCATCCAGCTCCCTTTTCTGGGCCTTGAGCATGTCAACTTCTCCAAGTTCCATATCTGAAAAGATCAAATAGATTGGTACACACAAGCAGCTTTTGGAAAAATGTGTCAGCATCAAAATGAAAAACAAAAGACTTACTGGAGAGAAGACGAGAACCATTCACCGTTTCCACCATGGCAGAAACATTGGGACCATATCTTGATTTGATCCAACGGTAATGGTTCTCTGGTGTCCAAAAATCATGAATTCCTATTCGTGATATTTGATCAGCTCTTTGATCAGTCTCTTTGGACCCTATATACTGAGAAGAGAAAAGAAGTAAATGTGTGTGTATACTAAATTCATTCTGCCAAAGCTACGTTAATTCCCATAAATAAAGACTAGAGTAGTAGGCAAACCGAATATTCCAGCCCAAATTGGCTAATCAAAACTTCTTTGACAGCAAATGGAGCCTCAAAGACTTGATCAAGTCTTGAATAAATGCCGAGTCTACGCATCTGCATATAATATTAGGAAAGCCAAGTTAATGCATGTTAGTGCATTTGGAGATTCTTGAAAAAGACACTGTTTGCCTCTTCTCTAGCTTTCAATGACTTTTTCTCTTTTTAGTGTTCAGTGAAGTGGATAAGTTTTAACAAGTTATGGGTCAAATAAGAACTTAATACTCATTTTTCAAAAAAAGAACTTAATACTCAAAGAAGAATACATGGTAAATCTCAAAACTGAAGATACGTGCCTCCTCAGTTAGTTGAAAAGGCTGTCTGGTACCATTACCAACCCCTGTATAATTTAAAATTGGGACATCAAATGACTTGAGGTTTTTAACCAAGAGGTCACGGTCAGCAGAATCTTGTGTAATAAATGCCTGCATGTGGAAGTACATACGAAAACATGAATACACGGCAAAAAAATTATAATAAATAAATAAAATCTATAGGACAAGGACAAATTATTTATTTATTTGCATAAATGAGAAACTAGGGAAAAAAAAAACAACAACAACAACGACAATGATAATCAGAGAGACAGAGAGAGCTCCGTGCAACAGAGAAACTTCAAGCACAAAAGTTGCCAGAAACAATGGCAAACTAATTTGCAATTCAACACCACATTACATATCCGGATAAAATATGACACATGTATAACACACATTTACCTACTAAAAATGCTAATTGTTATTTTTTTCCAAGTTAGTAGATGATTTTGGAGCCTTTTCGAGTTCAGTGGTTTAATTGTTGTTTCTTAAATAGTTCAATGGCGGCTTATTTGTACTTTATCCCTTAAATTAATGAAAAAATGTTTCCTTGATATTGCAGTGATCTTAAGCATAGATATGAAAAAATTCCTAAGTTAACACTTGGCCATCTTAGACATCCAAGATAGATATCATGTCAGTGAATACCAACCATGATCATCATATCTGTGTATTAAAGCTTCTCATATAAGCTGAGCAACTAGCTAAAGGAGTCAGAGATGGTAGATTGTGTCATAGATGGGGAAAAGTCTAACTGTCACAGGCATAAAGCAGAGCTTGATTTTTACAACAAAAAAAACTGAAAATCAAAGCAATAAAAGCTTTAGTTGGACATACCTTCCATGCATAAAATGGAATATGACCCTCAAGATAATTTGCGTGGGTTGTACTGGAAATGTTTACCTAAGTTTGAATATCACCAAAGAAAAAAAAAAAAAAAACAAATAAAGGGCTATGAGTGATTAATCAGGTTTAGTAAAACAAACAATCAAATTCACATACCTCAATTGCAACTGGACCATAGACATCTTTATTGAACTCATTACGATGTTCCTTCACCCAACGATAAGCCTCAAAAATCTTTTCAGCTCCAGAGTTCCGCAATTCATGTAAGCGTTTGTTGTTCATGTTCTCCAGTTCCCTTAATCTACAAAGGGATTCATTCAGAATATTTAAGAAGCATTCAACCATTACAAAATAAATTAATAATAAAGTAAAATACAAACGAAAGACAATACTTCTCTAGGCACTGCCTCAAGGATGTCCTATTTCGTTCAAGGGACTTCTCTGCTTCAAACTTCTGAGACCTCAGTTCTCTTGCAGTGACTTGCAGTTCAAAAATTATAGTACGCAAACCTTCCTGGCAAATATCAACAAAATTAGGAGTGAAAATATGGCAAGCGAGGAAGGTGCTCCAAGAATGCAATTAACAACTAATTGAAGATTATTCATTTATTCATGGAATTAAGTCGTCATAAAGTAAAGAATTTATATATTCAATAAAAGGTACAGTTGCCGGAAACAATAAGCCTACAAGTTCATTTTTGGGATGTTCAGAAGTAGGCAAATTTGCAAGCTCTAATTCAGCATCTCTGAGATCGTTTAGAGCTTTAGAAAGCTTTTCTTGACGAGATTCTTCCTGCCTCCTTTGATCTTCCATTTCCTGGTACTTTCCATGTATTTGCACAACCTGAGTTTTATATTATAAAAAATGTTGGCATGATTAGATAAAAAGATACTAGCAAGAATAAACAGAATGATGACTGCATTGAGTAAATTTCTGACAAAATACCAAATGGTTATCATGCTCCAAAATGCCCATACGCTTTTCAGCATTATTGTCCAAAAGATCACTCAATTCTTTACATATCCCATCCTGTGCAACTTTCTCTTGTTTCTGTTTCCTGAAACCAAGTAATCAGATAACAACTATTCACATGCAAGCAGCAATGGATAATGAAGTCTCAAGATTAAACATCTAGCTGAAACAACTTTGACCAAAAATTTAAAACTTCAAGAAACATAGCAAATACTGGTTGTCTGTCACCACTTTTACTAGGCTAAACATAGAAGAAAGTCGCTCTAAGCTAGACAACTCTAATTTTCTTAGAAGGGTGATTCAATTTGGTTGTACAAATTAGTAACAATTAATGTTACAGGGTTCCTGGTTCAGATTCAACCATCAGAGAATTTGTAAAACACATTCAGAATATGTTTTAAAATGAGGCAAGTTTTACACACATACACACAGAGTAACAAACACAAGTGGAGGTCAGAATGAGCAAGCTGACTCACTTAATAGGTTCCATAAGTTCATTCAATGTCTTAGCTGCATCATCAACCTTTTTTTTTGCATCTTTCTCACGATTTTTAGCTTCCTTATATGCAACTTTCTTAAGGTCATATTGCAGCCAGGGCAATTTCATCTTCATCTGTTCAGCCTATACACGGTAGTTGAAGTCAATTAAGCTGCTTAATAATAACAATAAATAAGTAAAATTTACAAACCTTTGCTAGAAGTAGATCCCTCTGGCGAAAGCGTTCAACATCACCTTCAATTTCAGCATTGGCTTGCTTCAGTTGATCTAGAGTTTCTTTGCTGCTCTGTATGGTCTGAAATAGACAACAATTTCTCTATTTGAGTTACCTTTTGGGTAAACTAAGGAAATCAAGTAAACAAATGCATTCAAATAAAACCCGCATATGAGAATGAAGTCAAGAAGGAACTCACTCGTTCCAGTTTCTTCAATTCTTCACTCTTAGTAATAAGTGAACTATGCATGACAGGCAACCGAGGATCACCCACAGCTTTTTCGGTCTCTTCAAGAAGTTGAACTGGAGTCAACTTAGCAAACTCGCAGACCCTGTCTTGTGGTAGAAACTGGTGCCATCCCCCAAGAAAGACAGTTAAGTATAAAAGGGAACTTAGCAAGAAAGCAAGTCACCAGTTGCTTAAGAATATATATGTGTGTGTGTGTGTGTGTGTGTGTGTGTTACTTCCCCAAACAAAACATCTTTTAGTCTTCAAAAATTATCAAACATCAGGGCTTCATACAGAATTTGGAGAAAATATTGATAGGATCAGGTATGAATAATAGCATTTACAAACATTAACAATAAGCAAAACACATAGCAAAAGAAAGTTAAGAAACTGCTGTGGATAATTTATAAAGGAATGGATGGAGAGCTCCCCACCAAATCAAGCTGAAAGTATTTTACTCTTCCATAGTCGAAGCCCAATGTGGCTACCAAATATTGGGGGTTGTGGTTCCCAAAAGATGAAGGAATAGAAAGAAAATGGAGTAATTAGATAAATTAAAATATTAAATAGACAAATAAAATAATCAAAAAGGAATGGCAAGTAAAGGGACAAAACTAAGGCAGTATAAGCAACATTCAACCTCTAACATCCAACTCAACTTCCGGTAAATCACAAAAATCAACTTTATAGTTTATACTACATTAATACAAGTACGTAAAACATGTCAATGAAAATAATTGATCAAAGAAAAAAGTAGGTATATAGTTAAAGCATTTATAGCACATGCTCTCTTATATGTAATTTATTAACAAAAAGAATGCACCAAGCAGTGCAAACTGAGAATTCATGAATTTCATGTTTGCTTTTGTGTACTTGTACATATAAAACATTAAAGTGAAAATGGCAAGGAACTCACTTGAGTCAAGTTGTTCACTTGGATATTGTATCTTTTAATGATTTCAAGTACATGCTTTTTGGGCACAACTTTCCCTGAAAGAAAAAAATGTACAGTTCTAAGGGAACAGCATTATTTTTATTTTTGAAAATAGACAGAATACAAGTACAGTCATCACCAATTAGTTGATAGAAACATAAGAATGAAGGCCAACCAAAATTCAATCAAACTTACCTCACATCTGCTGACAAAAGCTTCAAATGTAAAAAACTAGAACTTCAAGCAATGGAAATAATTGGATGCAACAACTCAAATTGAAAGCATATTATTTTAATAACACAGATACAGATATCATCATATATACCAAAACAATCAAGCGAGACTACAGATATTAAGCCCCAGTTTGGATGAGCCCAATTTAAGTTACCAACTACTATAAGCACTTATGCTAATTTTTTACTGTGTTTAGATATGCTTAAAAGAGCATATGGCTTTTGATCAGCCATTCCATACTTTCTTCCATAAACTACTTCAAGGAGTTCATCAGAACAAGTAGAAAAACATCATCTCAGAAGACCATTGAAGGCCCATTTTGGATGAGCTTATTTTAAGAATAAGCTTTACCATTAAATAACCACTCAGACTTGTTTTTGGCATCTATCTTCCGCATGATGGTGATTAACTCCTCCTTAGTGTCCCCTCTCAAGGATATTTTAATGTAACCATTATCTTCCCCACGCTTTACAAAGGCTCCAATACTAGAAGCCCTTCCCAAAAGCTACATAAATAAGGCAATTTCATCAGTTATCATTCAAATAGAAGCAAATTAAGTAAATCATAATTAGTTTCCCCACAAACCTGAGGCTCCCCACCAAGACCAAGTGCTATTGCACAAACAAGTGAGCTCTTACCAGAGCCATTAGGTCCAATTACAAGGTTTAACCGTGAGCCTGGTTTGCACTTCAACTGACTAAAGGTCATGAAATTATGAAGCTCAATCTCAGTTATGTTACCAGGCATATAATCATCTTCACCCCTGCATATTCAGGAAAAGAACTAAAGTGATGAATATAAGAACGTTACCTATTACTGCTCTCTTTTTGAATTTATGCCAGGTAAAGAGAACCAAGCTGCAACTTTTCAAATTGTAACATCATCCTTTAGACAATCTTCCAATATAACTACCAAAACATACTTCACATACTTGAAGAAACATTTCTTCCATCTTAAGGGTAAACACTACGTATAATACAAAGATCAACGCTTCAAAACTTTCTTTCCATCTCAATGTATTAAGCAAACCAAAAAGGAGAGTCAAATGTATGTGTTTGTCTGTTTGCATATGTGCATGTGTAATATGAATAACACAACTTGAATTGGTATGTTCAGAATTCCTATTCAGATAAAACTGTTCAATCAAAAATGTTTGAGAGAGGATAAAATGAACTTTTTAACAATGACCAAATATTGACCTCAATTGAGATAAATAATGTATCCAGTGATCAAAGGGTAATAAACAGGCAATTACTATCACCAAAAGAGATTTTAAAAAAAATAAATAAATAAATATATATAAAAAAAAAAAAAAAAAAAAAAAAAAAAAAAAAAAATTGGTAGCAGAAAAGCAAGTCAGATGTGAATGGTGACAAACTTTTTTTTTATGTTAGAACCAGTGGAATGTTCTTTGCAACATAGTGTTAAGTAATTTAGGTGACAAAAACAACATAAGAGAACAAGTGATATGCGCATAATGCATTGGCATATCACTTTTGTTTTCGTGATATAAATATTTCCATTAAAATACAATTTCTTTTAAAAAAATGTCAAAATTCCCCATTTTCAGACTATTGATGGCGGAAGGTTACGTAATATGAACGAAAAAGCAGTGTGATATTATAGAATTGACAAGAAAATAGTAGACCACCTATGAAAAGTGAAAACCCTAGTTTTTGGAGAATGTAGACACTAAGACATCACAGAGAAATACGAAAGCGGGAAATTTGTCAACAATATTTCAAGTAAAGACGACGGAGTGAGTTGATCGGAGCCCAGAAACTACCAAAGGCACATACAAAATATTTCGACGTTTATTTTTAAAGGAAAAATAAAAAGTACAGAAAATTGAAATGCAATTGACATTGAGTAGTCTATAATATGGTGGAACTACCTCGTAATCTTGATTCTCTTAGCGCCGGGCTCCGCCATGAGAGCTTACTAGGGTTTCCTGCGGGATAGACGATCACTGTAGCAAGTATGCTCTGCTGCTGCTGCTGCTGCTGCCGAGTTATGTGAAGTGTGAGCAAACTTTTGGCGCCAAACTGGGGAAGCGTGAGAGATATATTATTACTTTGGTCTGTGACGTGCACACGAGTGTACCAGTCGCCGATAGATGTTTAGTGGATAAATTTCGGACAATTATATTGAGGAATAGTGCTCAAATACGCATCTAACTTTAAAAGATGGTAATTGGATCCTTTATTAATGGTCTAAAATCATGTAATTAATCAAAATTGACATGTTCCTTTTTTTATTATTTACGAAGGGGAATACCCAAAGAACTCAAAAGAAAGAATCAGTGCCAGTATTTACATAGCGCCATGATGGTATGCCCTCTATATCATCTTCAAGAAAGCTATAGGCACCATCTGGTGGATTAGGCAGCAGCTGGATGTCATTGGCAGAGTTCCTAGCAAGGGTGGCAAGGTAGTCCGCAACTTGGTTCTGTTCGCGGAAGACTGAAGCGATGCAGCAAGCTTCAAAGCAGCGCAATTCTTTCTTACAGGCCTCCAGGATATTATGAGCTGCAATAGAGGGAGGCCTGGAATTATTCATGTACTTAACCATCTCGCCAGCATCACTTTCAATTATCACTTTCCCGTATCCCAAGTGTACCAATAGTTGTATTCCCTTGAGGAGTGCCCATGCCTCGGCCTCTAGCGGTGAGCAGCCTCCAATATTGTATAAGAAGCCATGTTTCCACTCACCAAGGCTATTTCTAATGACTCCTCCGCAGCTGGCCCTGAACGAATTCAGGCATACAGAGCCATCAATATTGAGTTTAACGAAATTTTCCTGCGGTTTCGACCAGCATAGAGGTCTCCACGTACTCTGGCCATCATGATGATTCCCTTTATGGCTATTAATGAAGGCCTTGAGTATCTCATCAAATTGTTTTTGGATCCAAAAGATCTTGAAGCTGAGTGGACGGGTTATGTTGTTGAATATAGCATCGTTTCTCCATTTCCATATCCACCATATGGTTATAGCAAATAACGAGCCGAAACTACCCGGGTTCATGTCACCTTTCTTGATGCCCTCCTGGAGCCAGGCCGAGAAGGGGGTTGAGATAGCGCTGGGAAAGTTGGCTGGCAGCAGACTATTCCAGAGATCATTAGCAGCAGGGCACTTCCTTAGCACATGATCCACATCTTCAATCAAGTTTCCACAATTCCAGCATTTGTCGCAGGAGGTAAAACCCCTTCTTTTCCTTGCACTATTCGTCATGATTTTTCCGTGGGCGACCAACCAAATAAAAGATCGAATGCGGTTTGGCACCTTCAGTTTCCAGATATTATTCCACTTTGCCGCTTCCACTTGATTTGAGCTTCCAATCGCGATGTCGTAGGCAGAGCTTACTGAAAAGATTCTCGAGGTCTCATAGGACCATCCAATGGTATCAGTAGCCTCAGAATCGTGGAGGATAATGAAGGCAGCCAGCTTCATGCGAATATCTTCAGGAAGGAGATGATCCAACTGATCCCATGTCCAACCCCTTTCGTCAGACCAGTAACTGGAGACTGATTTTGCAAGGTCAGTAGTCGATACTGGGGTGATTGCCTCATCCTTGAGTGGTTTGTTCGTCAACCACTTATCTACCCAAAATCTGGTATCCCTCCCGTTCCTGACCTGCTTCTTAAGTCCTTCTCGGACGATGGGGAGCGCCTTTATAATTCCTCTCCAGGCATTGGATGAAGCAGCCTTGGGACGCCATGTAGATAAGTCGTTAGAGATGAACCCATATTTAGCTCTAAACAGATGAATCCACAAGCAATCTTCGTTCTGAAGTATTCTCCATCCGAGTTTTGCAAGGAAAGCACAATTCATTGGTTCCATTCTACGGATACCCAGGCCACCAGAGGCTTTGTTCCTTGTAATGGTGTCCCAGTTAATCAAGTGGCACTTCCTTTCACCAGATTTACTGCCCCAGAGAAAACTCCTTATCAACTTTTCGATGGCTGAATTCACTCCTGCAGGTAAGAGGGTTGTTTGCATTGTGTAGTATGGAATCGATGAGAGGACAGATGGGCTAAGACTTGCCTGCCTGCAAATGAAAGGGTTTTCGCCTTCCACCCCGCAAGCTTTGATTGAATACGCTCTAGTAAGCCTGCAAATGATTCGCTCGTGAGCCTTCCATGGAGCGAGGGGATGCCCAGGTCTGTTGTCACTGGGATTCCAGCCACGTTGGTGATCTGGTGCTGTAGCTCAAGGCTAGTGTTTTTTGAAAAGTAGATCGCTGATTTCTGGAAATTGACCTTTTGGCCAGAGCAGAGACAGAATTGGTCTAGGCAATTTCTTATTACATGCATTTGATCCACTGTTGCTTCCCCGAACAAGACTAAATCATCTGCAAAAAAGAGATGAGAGATGTGAGGAGCATTCCTAGCTAATTTAATACCTTTCCAATGCCCACGCCTGACTGCCTCAATAATAAGGTGGCTAAGCCTTTCCATGCACAACACAAAAAGTAGGGGGGAAATGGGGTCCCCTTGTCTGATTCCTCTCTTAGGATTGAACCAGCCCGTTTGTTGCCCGTTCCATAGCACTGATAGTCTTGTTGATGTGACGCACTCCCTAATATTTCTTCTCCAATCTTGATTAAAACCGATATCCTGCAAAGTGTCGTCGATAAAGTCCTAAGAAAGCCTGTCATACGCTTTCTCGAGATCAATTTTCAGAGTAAACCAGCCGGAGACACCCTTTTTATATTTCATAGAATGCAGAACCTCCTGGTACACAAGGATATTATCCGTAGTTGATCTACCTGGTACAAAGCTGGACTGGTGAGGGCCTACTAGTTTCCTGGATATGTCTTTGAGTCTTGATACCATTGCCTTGGTGAGAAGTTTGTAGAGTACATTACATAATCCGATGGGTCTGAATTGCTTAACAGTTTTTGGATTTGGTACCTTTGGAATAAGGGCTATGCAAGTGTCGTTAATCCCAGTTGGCAGGCGGCCATTCCTGAAGAAATCCCGCGCATAATTCACTAAAGAGCCTCCTACTAGTGGCCATGACTTCTGGAAAAAGCTAGCCGAAAACCCATCCGGTCCCGGTGATTTGCAAGGAGACATATCAAAGGCGGCCGCTCTTATTTCTTCGATATCAAAATGTGCATTGATTTGATTCCATTCTGACTCGTCAATTGCAGGAAATCTCCCATGTGGAAGTCCAGTTGTGTTGACAGTGGATTCCTCTGTGAAGAGATTGATAAAGTAGCTGCGAACATGTGCTTTGACTAGTTCCTGATCGTGTGTTGAGGTCCCCAGTTGTGATCCAATCTTCCCTTGATCGTTGATACCAAATTAGTTCTTCTTGTAGGAGTGTCTCGTCCAGTTCCTTTCTCAGTTTCCTCTCCAACTTCATGAGGTCTGAACGAGGATTGAAGGCTAAACTTTTTTGAATCCCTCCAAGCCTCGCCATCAATCGTTTCTTCCTGGAGAAAATGTTACCGAACGTGTTTCTGTTCCAGCAAGTTAGAGTTGAAGCTACATTCTTCATATTGGATATTATGTCCACCTCCTCGTTCCAGGTATGTCTGATTAGAGAATGGAACGAAGGATGTGTAGCCCAAGCCATATTGAAAATAAATTTCCTGGGCGTGTATATGTCTTGTTGCTGCCTCCACTTGATTAGTAGCGGGGCATGATCAGAACCCATAATTGGCAGATGCTCTACCCTGGCGTCCGGGAAGGTAAGTTTCCATTCTATGTTGCATAGTGCACGATCCAGCCGTGCGCCTTTAAATGTAGGCGTATTTAAACCTCTCATCCAAGTGAATTTGCTCCCCACAAAGCCTAAGTCTAGCAGCCCTTCACGGAAGATCCATTCATTGAAGTCACTGCATCTAGCTATGGAGAAGTGATCCACATTGCTTGATTCATCCTGGCAGGTGATCGAGTTGAAGTCTCCAGCTATCAGCCAGGGGTAGTGAGACTCGAACATTTGGTAGGAAAGGTCAGCAAAAAGAAGCCTGCGCAGACACTGGTCTGGGCTTCCGTACACCACTGATAACAGCCAAGGACCGGAGTGGCCATCATTAACCTGCAAGGAAATGAATTGCGGGTGAGTATCCAGAATCACCACATCAATGGAGGCTTTCCAAAAAACCCATAACCCTCCAGAGAACCCAACTGCTTCCACCCTAACCCACTCATCAAAGCCAAAACGAGAGCATATATCGTTAGCATGACTACCCGAAACCTTGGTTTCTAACAAACAAACAATTACGGGATTGAGCATCCTGACGAAATATTTAAGGGTACGGCTGAACTCTCTCGACACCGCCCCTTGACAATTCCAGACGAGGCACGACATAAAAAACAATAGTAAAAGAGAGGGGAAAGCGTTCAAGAACGCTGAAAACTGGAAGTAAACGGCCCAACCAGGGCACCAACACCAATATCTTCGATCATGCTTTCGTTCTCTGGGACAGCTCTCGAGGGACCTGGGTCAGGTGGATGATCTTTAAGACCAGACGAGATGTTTTCAATTAGTGGAGCAGCATTCGTATATGAGGATCTTGGGTCAGGCGGATGTTCCTTGGGGTCAGGCGGGATATTTTCAGCTAAGGGGGCAGATGGAGAAGAGGAAACGTGGTGGATAGTCGAGGATGTAATGATTCTTCCTTGGTTTGTTCCACGGACGACTGTGTGCTCGTTCTCTGCAGCAGCACGGTTGGGAGTGCGACCCCTCCCAGAGGTCCTTCTGAAACCACCTCTCGGTCCTCTTTGGACGGATGATTGAGGTTGGCTCAGAAAGTTAAATTGAGGTCCTTCGTTCTGGCTAGGCTCAATCGGAATTTGTACTGGTTGGTTCTGTCTTGGATTGGAATAGTTGGTCCTAATTCTGGGGAGGTCCTCTGCCACTTGTGGGGCAGTCCAAGTAGCTTGGTTAGACTGGGGCTGGTTTCCCCCACCATCTTCCAGATTGGCGATGGAAGCAAAGCGGGATTTCGATCCCAGACCTTCAAACGTCTGTACGTTTCTTGGGGAAACTTGTCTTGTTTGGGTTGGAGGCCGGTTGGGTGGCTGTGCCGGCCCTGTGTTGCGAGGCCGCCTCTCCTTGCGAGTGATAAGCATCCATGGACCATACTTCTCGGCCGGGACTTGTCTAACCGT